GTTTGGACTTCTTTGTTGACATCCACCCCTTGGCGCTCATATGACCTTAAGCAGTTGCGAGCGCCGTAAAACCTCTACTAAAACTAAAACTAAAATGACACTGTCTCCTTGTCCCTCACTCAGCAAACAAGGCACACGCAGCGGGACGGGCGGGTATGTGAGGAGCGATGCGGAGATGGAGCAGATCATGGATGGACTCACCGAGCAGGAGGTACGCTAAAAGAAAAGAAAAAAAGTAAGAGGAAAGAGAGATAAAGGGGTCACTTTTTTTCTGCCTTTTTCAGAGTTTCTTTTCAGATGGCTTGTTGTACAACAGTGTGTACAGAGTGTGCAGTTGAATCTGTCCTAGAATGGGTGGTTGACGGATGCTCTGGTGTGGTTTGCTTCTTCTTTCCTATCAACCATCTACCATCCTTCTCTCCCCTTTTTCTTTTTTTATGTTTGTTACTTTCTTGTAACACCTCTAATCTTCTGGCGTTCATATGACCGTATGCAGTTGCGAGTGCCGTAATCCAAGAGTGGGTGGTTTGCAGATGCTCTGGTGTTTTTTGCTTCTTCTTTCCTATCAAACATCTATCGTCCTTATCTCCCCTTCTTTTTTTTTGTTTGTTACTCTCTTGTAACACCTCTAATCTTCTGGGTATTCTCCTTGGCCCCTGGTACTTCTACTTTTGTGAGACATCGTGGTGAAATCAGGCACTCCTCCAAATAATGGAACCAAAGACAAGTTTGTGGGTGGTTGGCGGGCGCTCTGGTGTGGTTTGCTCCTTCTTTCCTATCAAACATCTATTGTTTTTATCTCCCATTCTTCTTTTTTTTTGTTTGTTACTCCCTTGTAACACCTCTAATCTTCTGGCATTTTTCTGGTCATCAGGCTATTTTTTTTTTTTTATGTTCTTTGTTTGGCTAAACACCTTTTATGTCCATTTAAAAACACATTTCTGTGTGGATTGTACTGTAAAACATTGTTTAAATGCAAAAAAAAAGGTAAATTTTTCAGAGTTCAAGAAACTAAAGCTTTGGAAATCACCACACTTTGACTGCCATTGTCTCACTAGTTTTACCTCTGAGACCAGGCGGTCCTCACCTCCTTCAGTAGCAAATGTCTCAACCTCTTTTCAAAATAGATGGATAATTGTATCACCAAAAGCTAGTCAAATGAACAAGCAGGCTATAAGATGATACCAATAACTCCATAATACTCCCTTAAATTGACCAACGCCTGAGTCCACCGGGCCGTGACCTATTTGTTGTTTTTTGTCTATGTGTGCGCGTGACACATTTGTTGTTATTGTCGCGCCGTGACACATTTGTTGTTTTTTGTCTCTGTGTACGCGTGTGCAGGAGGAGGAGAAGAAGATGCGCAGCCTGTCGGTGATCCCCCCCATGATGCTGGACGCGCGGCAGCGGAAGATGCGCTTCGTCAACAACAACGGCCTGCTGGAGGACGCCATGGAGGCGCAGAACTTCCACCACTCGTTCAACGCCGCCTGGACCGACGTGGAGCGGCAGATGTTCAAGGAGAAGTACCTGCAGAACCCCAAAAACTTTGTCGTCATTGCCTCCTTCCTGCCACAGAGGGTGAGTGTGGAGGGTGGGTGTGGAGGGTGAGTGTGGAGGGTGAGTGTGGACCGTGGGTGTGGAGGGTGGGTGTGGAGGGTGAGTGTGGACCGTGGGTGTGGAGGGTGAGTGTGGAGGGTGAGTGTGGAGGGTGAGTGTGGAGGGTGAGTGTGGAGGGTGAGTGTGGAG